GCACCACCTCTGGAAAGAGTCTATTCCAGGCCTTGGGGGCTTGGACAGTAAAGAAATTTTTCCTTATGTCCAGCCTAAAATGGAGGAGTTTGTGACTGTTGGACCATGTCATCCCTTGGGGTGCTCTCCAGATCCTGATGCACAGCCCTTATATACTTATAAGTGGCTACCAGGTCACCTCTGAGCCTGCGCTTTTCCAGGCTGAAGAGTCCCATGTCTCTCAGTCTCTCTTCATAAGGCCTGTTCTCTTTCACCCTGATCATGCATGTGGCTCTCCTATGGACCCTCTCAAGCTTCTCCACATCTTTCTTGAATTCAATAGAAAGAAGAGCATGTCACTAAGGAAGTGTCAAAAGAATTGCATCAATGTGTAGGAACAAAATTAAAAAAGTGTCAATGCATGGGGCAAAAATCAGGAAAGCAAAGGCAAAATATAAGTTGCAACTTGCAAGAGATGTTAAAGGTAACTGAAGGGTTTCTAGAACTACAGTATGTTAGGTAGAAAAGAAATATCAGGAAAACTAAGTTCTCAACTCAATGAGGAAGGTAGTCTGGTAACAGAAGACACAAAGAAGGTTTGGTCAACACTTATTCGCTTTAGTCTTCAAAAAATAAAAGCAACCTGCAACTAGATGTCTCACAGAATTATTATTAAGAAAAGAGTTGGGGAGAGGCAGATCATGATGAGTAAAAAAGCACCAGAGAACTTTTGAATCATTTGAATGCATGTAAGTCAGCAGAGCCTGATGGAGTTCCTCCCAGCATTTTGAAGGAACTAGCTGGACAAATCTTAGAAGCCGTGTCATAATTTTGGCAAAGTCATGGGTAATAGGCAAGGTTGCAGATGACTGTAGAATGATTAATATAGTGCTCACTTAATAAGGAAACAATGGCAGTTAAGAGGGGACAGGCAGCAATGATCTAATATTAAAAGACTGTCATAAAAACATGGGGAGAAGATTTGAGGGAACATGAAAAGAGGCAAAAAGTTTAAACTGAATTAATCAAAATTAGGTTAAATATCAAGACACGCTTCCTAAGGACAATGAACAAGATGTCTTTTGGGAAGTGGTGGAATCTCATTCACTGGAGGGTTGGAAGAGGCTGGATACATATTTATCAGAGGTAGTTTAGGAACAGTGAATTCTGAATCCATATGGAAGTTTCGACAAGATGACTCCTAATGTCCTTTTCAGTCCTAGATTGTGTGATTTGTACAGGTTCCATACGAATTCATGTAAGTAAGTAAATCTAGATATAATCTGTAATTCTGGGTGTGTCTACACAAGACACTACTGCTCAGTCATTACTGTGTGTTTATTTAGTACTTGTATTAGCAAGTATTAAATAAATTCAGTAACTGTGTACTAGCATTGGTGAACATCTTTTAAGTGACGCTACAGCTCAGTAGCCTAATAATACTGCACAATAGTGTATTAGCACTGTCTGTGCTGTGACATGCTGCTGCTCAGCATCTTATGTAGATGTACCCTTTGAGTAGTAGAACTAAACGTATTAAATTGCAAACTGTAAAAATATTGGTGGTTTACATTTTCACAATTTTTTACAATATATTTATGTATATATTATATAAAAAGAGTGTGTATATACACATGTATGTTGAGTGTGTGTGTGAATGAATGTGTGTATGGGTTTCAAAGAATGAAACTAGCATTTTCCAGTTTTTGCAAGCAGGACCTGATATTCAACCTACATATAATTTGGTCTTCCTTAATGCTTACAGCTTGTGAGATTTGTAGGTACAATTTTGCATCCACAAGCTTTTTGTTTGGAGAGAAGATTTTGGCAAAATTTAAGAAAATTAGGGAGTAAAATTTTCAGAACTATTCAGCAGTACCTTAACTCTGTTCCCACTGAAGTAAATGGAAGCTTTACCTTTGTCTTCAGGATGCTTGTAGTTTGCCTTTGTGAAGTGCTTTTACCCCACCATAGGTTTCCATTACTAGATTTGTGAAGAAAGCAGGTACCTCAACATATAAATTACTAAAATTGTGCCTGAAAATAATAACTGGCAAAAAACCATGCTCACAGTTTCCTGGCACATAAAATGAGGCTAATTTTTAAAAAATTGGCAACTTCTGCTTAAGTATTACTAAATTTACTGAGACAGCACATTTGAGAAATACCACCATATATTTAACCTTTTCTTGCTTACTATTTATCTACTTGAAACAATCATTTTTTAAGATCTATAGAGAGAGATTTCTAAAAAGCTACATCCACTTTGTTGTACCCGCAGTCATGAATGTGAATAATTGTGGGCACAGTTGAGGCTGTGGACTGCACCCACTAATTCAGGTACTTTAGATGTCTAAATGGCTTGACTTGTGCCGTCAGTTAGTTGAACCCACTGAATTACAGACTCAAAAAGGGATACCCATTTAAGGCTGGGCTGAAAACCAAGCCCCTAGCATTATTCACGCAACTTTCCATTTTAAGCATATAGCCGAACCTTTTCTCTTCATATAAAATTCTTTCATAATAATAAATCTTACACACTGCAGTAAAAGCAGATCCTTTTAGAGTATGGCAAAGCCAAACTGAAATGATTTTTTTGAAGCCACCATTACAATTGGCACCACTGTCAGCAGTCTCAGCAAAGGGCCAAGAATTGAATCTGCTGCTAGTTTTTGAGGGTTCATGTGAGTCAGAAGGTTCAGGATTATAAATGCTTGTCTCACCCCTTTCTTGCCCCATAACAACCCAATGTTAGTTGCTGGGGAATTTGGAGACAACCACAGTCTCACTGTACAAAAAGAGGTGACTGGGTCTTTTCACAGTGCTTGTTACTATTTTCTTTTTGTTTTTCTTAAGTATTTGGCATGAACTACAGCCCATACTAAAACCATTACTTGACCGGGATTCCTTTTTTTCCATTTTGTTACTTTACACTCCAGGGGATTTCCTTTAGGAAGCTAATATCTTTCTAAGGTTGCTATAATGGTACAGGATCCGAGTCGCTTTGTTAAGAATTTCCATAACTCATTCAGTCATGGCAGCATTGGTATGGTTGGCTAAAGCAATTTCCTCCCCCTTCAGCAAGTCGCATTTACTTTCTCTGAGTAACTGTACTGAAGAAAAGTCCCCCTTTTCTCTGCACATCTTTTTCCATCCTCTTGGTTTTGTTTGGCAGCACATTAACTAGAAATTGGGTTGGGAAAGGTATATATTGTATGGCTAATTATATGAACATCTCCTAAGGAGCCAATACCAAATATTATAACACTGATATTTGTAATAGTATTAGGAGAGCAAGCAACAAATTAACCTTGTAAAGATGTCCATCAGAAACACTCCGAGCAAACTGCTACAAGAAGAGAAAGGTATTGGGAGAAATACAGAGTTTATTGCCACATCTACCCCAGAAAATTATGGTATGACTGTGGTGACTCTTGTGGTCATATAATGTTTTCAAAATGTGCAAGGGTATTGAATTCAGTAGAACTTTTCCCTCCTAAAAAAGCTGAATAAAGTGAGGTATAATAGTGCTGTTGGACTCCTCACAAAGCTTAAGGGAGAGTTGTATGGTATGTGGATGTTGGGAGCCCATGAACTAGTCATTCTTCATTTGCTTTAAATGCTGTATGTACAACTCACAGTACTGCTGCTGGCACTGTCATGAAATCAGTCTGAAGATCACATGTGTAACATGCAGACAGAAATAAATCCTGTAGGTAAAAGAAAGTAGAAATTGGCAAAAGATCAAAGTTTATCCTCCTTCCTTCACTTTTATTATCCTGGCTAAATCTGGTCCTTTGATTTTTTTTTTTTTTTTCCATGAGGCTTGGTTGAGTTTAAATAAAGGACTTAAGATTTTATTTGTTTTTCAACCTGCATGTAATTTGAACCACAGTGTAGTGGGTTGGGTACAGTCAAAACTCAATTTCTTACAGAGATACTGTAGGGAATGAAATAATTTAAAGAATGAATTTGTCACCTCAAGAACTTTGGGATCAACCTTGTGATGGGTGGCTAAGATGAATGTTGTAGAACAAGTGACAAGTAGGATTTTGTGAACAGTTAGGAATATGTGGAATAATTAAAGCTTATTTTCTTAATTAAATAATATGTACATGCTTAGCTTTCAATCAGATTATAATAAACAGGACTACACATTTGAAAATTACCCGCTTTTTCCAAAAAATTTGATAAAGTAAAAAAAATTGAAAGAATTTAACTTGACTCTAATTGTAGATTAAATTTAATATTGGTATTCCCTTAGTCATTACTATCAGACAGCAGATATAAGTTAGCTCCACCAGCGAACTCTGGTTGTGTTACAGGAATACCTAAGCATTGCAGGTCAGGACTGAGGAACAGTGGAAAGCCTCTTAGAAGTCTTGAGCAACTTAGACCTGCAATAACTTTGGTTACAGCAATTACTGTTAGCACCAGACATTAATAAACATTAAAATGAAATCAGAAATGTGCAAAATGGGTCATTGTTGCTTACTTTTTTCCACTGCAGTAGTGCACTAGGATTGGGAATGCATTGCCCTCCAAGCCATTGTACAAATGCATAGGAAGAAACAGCTGCTGCCCCAAAGATTTTACAGTCTAACTGGAGAAATTAAAAATAAATATATACTCGGAATTTTTTTAATGTTTCATATAACTTGTGGAACTGACCCTGCAACCCTTAATCAAGGCTTATGTAAAGTGGATGGAGTGATAATTGTTAATTGGCAGCAAAAGGAGTATGGGAACCATCAACGTCATAGTTCAACTAATCTCTTGCTAGTAGGGATTAGAATGAGGAGTAAATTACCCCATATCTTCCCAGTAGTGAGTTTTATACACCTTCCTCTGAAGCATCTGGTTTTTGCCAGTATCAGGAATAGGATATTGGCCTAAATATATCTTGTCCTTCCATGTGATAACCTGGGGTTTCCTGCTTTCTAATGCAACAGATGTGAAACATGCCTTTAACTTCTCTCTATTCTACTTTAATAATTTGCACTACTGTATTTGAATATTAGGTTTTGGTCACCTAACAAAGCAGTTGCTGAAGCTAGCGGATGGTCGTGTGGTGCTGGCACTGGAGGGAGGACATGACCTTACTGCCATCTGCGATGCATCTGAAGCCTGTATAAACGCCCTTTTAGGAAATGAGGTAAAAGACGAATCAGAGAGCTAAGAGGAAAGTGCTGCTTTTTGTTCGGAAAGCTGTGCTCTTTGTTTTCTTTTCATACACAATGACAGTGAAAGGTTTTCCTGTCTGTATAAATAAAAATGCCAATTGCATGCATCTTAGCAATGAGCAAACCTCAAACAGAGTCTATTTTGGTTTGGACAAGTATTCCAAAATCAGATGATGATTATATGAGCCTCTGGGGTCTGCAAAATAATCCTGAGGAAGGGCTCAGTACCTAGCTGTTCCCTCAATGACAGGCATTGTGCCTTAATATCAGTGGAAGTTAGTTGTGCTGATTATCTCTTGGGATCTGATCTTTCTGCCAGTTATCACAGAAAAACAAGCTTTCTCAAGTTATTTGTTAATTTGTTGGACTATAAGTACATTTGGTTGCAATATTTTGACATTGAAGGCTTCATACAAACATTCCATCTAGAAGTTTTTTTTGGGGGGGTGGGGGGTTAGATCGGTGTGAAAATGTCCCTCCCCATCTAACTCAATAATTATATAAGTGCCAAGAGCCTGATCTAAGGTAAGTTGGGCTGGGGGAAGGGCAGGTGGGATGGGAGGGTGGTTAGCAGAGGGGCTTGGAGGAATCAGAGGACTAGTAGGGTCTGTGGTGGGGGGTCTGTGGTGGGGAGGCTGGGGAGATTGGGCAGATTAGTGGGGTCTGAAGAGGGGTTGAGAGATTGGGGGGCTAGCAGGGTATGAGGAGGAGATTGGAGGGAAACAGTGGGGTGGTGGGATCTGAAGGGCTCTAGAATCCTTCCCAACCCTCCTGCCCCCCAATGCTGCCAAACTGCCCCAGATCCCACCAACTGCTCCCAGGACTGGTTTTACCAGCATTCACTGGTACCAGGAGCCTGACTGATGTTAAGGTCAGGGAAGCAGTGGGAAGATTGGTGGGGTTGGCAGCTTCACAGGGGTGTTTGGCAGGATGCGGGGGTGATGGCTCCATGGCAGGGTGTTGGTGGGATTAGAGGGCTCTCCCCCATCAAGCCAGGGCCCCCTGACCCTCTCCGTACCCCCAGATGAACAAACTCCCTCAAGGGAGCCAATGCTGCAAATCTCACCTGCTCCTCCCCTTATCCCCTCCCTGATTTACTGGCAAATGCCAGTAACTATGGTGCCAGGAGGGACTTGTGGGACTGGGGGTTTGGTAGGCTCAGGGGGCACTGGTTGGTCTGTAGGAAGTGGGGAGGTTTCACATTTCAGTGTGGCCGGAGGGGCTGGGGGCCTAAAAATAGCCTGGTGCCAGGAGGTAGGAAAAATGCAGCCCCAGGACTAGGGGCAGTGGCTGAGCTTTCCCAGCCCTGGGGCTGCACTCTGAACGTGTACAGAAGTTTAGTTAGATTGGTCTAGCTGTACCTGGTCTAGCTTAGTGTACCTTCAAGATACAGTTAAATTAGATTGGGTTTGCCATTTTTTTAACATTCTAACTTTCCTGGAACTTCTGTACAGTTTGTACTTATATCAGTCTAACTAGAGACCTAAATATAAGGTCTGCATGTGGATGAACTAAGTCAGATTGGTGGCCATTTTAACATGCTCTAACCTTCCCTTAACCTTCCTGAATGTCTGTATGTTCCCTGAATGTCTGTTTCAACCTCCACTAGGAACCAGGGAACCAAGAGACACTTGAAATTTATCGCTAAAAATGTATCTAAGCTTTCTAAATGGTTTGGTTTAGGTTTGGTTTAAATTATGGATTAGGGTTCAAGTTAGTTCCTCCAAAAGTCATCAAACAATATATATTATTAGAAAGCAGCTGTAGTGGCATATGGTTTTTGGGCAATTTCATGCTGGGGAAGTAGGCTCGTGACAACATAATATTTGTGTGTATGTAACCCGGGCGGTACTCCAAGAGGTACCCCCTCTCC